AAATGTAAGGCCAAATATCCTCACAAACAACGCCTAAGTGAAATCAGTTTGCAACTTAGCAGTTCGAAAACTTTGCAACACGTCTGGAGAAAGACGTTCCTTGTGACGCTGTAATTCGCTGTAATTCACTCATGTAAAAAGTCCATTTATTTTGTTTGTTTTTGCATAATTACTGCTATACATACCGTAGAAGCACCTTCCTTTTTGTCATCGCCGCTGACAACATGCGCCATTCTCTGCGGCTTCGGCCGCATGCTTGGCCACAAGTCACCGAAATCGGGATACAGAGCCTTATTTATGAATCAGTAGTAGGTAAACGTTGCAGAAGTGTATGCATATTGTTCATTGTCAATGCTGCTTAAACAACATGCCTAACATTAAGTCAACACTCGCCTGCATTTTCGTCTTTTCCGCTTCGCGTTGCGAATGATGTCTAGGCCTACACAAAACGAAAGTAAAATGTGCGCATGTCTAAATGTAAGGGAGATCACTCGTGTTTTCCGGTAGTATATGTCTGAAATCATTCCGAAGGTGTTGTTGTTTTTGTGTATATTGAAATAAAAGAGTCCTGTTATATGGTAATACTTCAATAAACGAAATACGCAAATCACACCAACAGACATATAAAATGTAGGCCTATCGGCGCATATCTTTCGTTTCTGGCTGAACTGTAATTAGCGAGAAGGCCATATAAGGAAACGGGTAATTGCGATAACATCACGCGTGATCTAACATGGCCGTCGTTTCTGTTTTTAGAGTTTTTAGTAAGGATTTGTTATTTCAACGATGAACGAATATGCAATATTTTGATAAAACCCATCACATGGAAAGCTGATCAGCACATAGTAGGCACATTTGCACACTGTAAGCAAAACAAAGGAGTGCAATTGACATATCCATGTTTCCTGATTAATTTATTTTTTCTGGAAACAACCAGAGGAGAGTGATGCTCTGCTTCATCTTTTGTATTAATGAAAACCGTGAATATCTTGTGTGTGTTTAAACTGTCCTCTTTTTTTACTGTGGTTCAAGAAAACATTTCCTTCTTTTTCCACAAGAGTACTGTTTCAAATTTATCAGGCTTTTCAATTCGAAGGCTTATATATAAACAGAGAGATAATTTTGTTTTGTTTTTACTGGTGCCTTTTTTATGTACACATCTTAGAAACCAGTTAACGTGTCTAAAGCCCCCATGAGATGTGCTGTTATAAGTTGACTTTTATGTACATTTTGTTTATATTTAGTTCTGCTACCAAAGAGATTGACTTACTGAAATTTTTGTGAACCATATTAATGAATTCCTAAGCTTGAATGCCTTATTTCTCACTATACAAGCTCATTATACTGCTTTGCCTCCTATTTCTTTTGAATATTGTCTCTAAACATTATTATTTCTGGTGCAGAAATTATATGGTGACTTTATTCTATTTTAGGGGAAAAGCAATCAATATCACAACAGACAGGGATGGTTATTGATGGGAGGAAGGAGGATGAGAAAAAGGAACTGAACTCCCTCTCTCATAACTTTGAGGACTTCATGAACTTTTTCAAAAGGCTGCAAGAACTGTACCAACAGTGACATGACATTTTTAAGTCTTTCACTCACTATCAGTTACCGTATAAAGGAGGAACCTCTGACTAAATCATTTTATCTCAGGCTCATGACAGCCGAGTCCACAGATCCTTCCAACAGCGAATAGTTCAAATGCTTTCCTTGCAATTTTTTCCTTAATGGAGAAGTCAGTGATCTTTACTTGGGAGTGGGACAGATTGAATCTGTGATTATTGATGCTGAAAGCCGGATGAATGTGAATGTGATTAAACAGCCCCTACTTACTAAAGGCACTTGTGTTGGAATCTACGTTTGTTTCGATCAATATAACACTATGGGTGGTGGTGACCGTCTTGTTCTTCAGGGAATGTAACCGATAATTCCCAGATCATGTCAATGCTTGGGGGACTTTTCATACAGGGTGAGTTGCAAGGGGAGAGTGCTACACCCCCTCCTTATGTATTGACCTTTCTGGGGGGATCCCACTTGGTGCTTCTGTCTCTGACCGAATTAAGAACAAAATTTGGTCGGGGGAATTTATTGATCTGCGTGTTCTTCAGTGAACTATACTGAAGACCCTGTATCCTTGAATATTGCATATGGGGTCATAAACATAAACCATGGCCAGTCCTAATCAAAACAGCCTCTGTCCATTGAACAATGGACGTCGTATTTCAACACGTCTATTGCAATATATTCAGAGATGGCCTGCTGAGGCAGCAAATCTGCTAGAATATGCCTCGACAATTCGTGAATTACACACGAACCATGGTGCTGTGGCTTGGCGGTAATACGACGAGAAATTCGGTCGTCTGCGCCCATCTCACAGGCCGTCTTGTCAAAAGCCTAATAATGAATTACACACCAAGGCTGCCACTTATCTCACAGGCGGTCTTGTCAAAAGCCTAATGATGAATTACACACCAAGGCTGCCACTTTAAGAACAAGTCCTGGTGTAAATGGTCAGGCATCAAATGTACAGCGACTGGGAGGAAAATCGGGCAACCAGCCTTTTGTGGCAAACCATGTTTCAATTTCAACAACGGTCTGCCATGTAGGTCCAGACCCTGTAGGTACAATCATTTCTGCCAGTCTTGCCAGGGCAACTATTCAAGAAAGTGTGCACCAAACCAAAAAACGAAGTCTACCACAGGTCAAAAATAAAACGGATACTGGACAAAATTTTATTTAAACAAACCGCCCACGCTTTTTCGATCAAGGCTCGCCCACCATCCAACCCCTCTTTTTCATTGTACTATATATTAGATGTACACACCACCTCTGGATACAGTTTCCATAACCTAAAAGTATATTAAATTGTGTTGTACAGTACGTGTTTGTTTAATTTATAATTAATCATTTTATTTACCTTTTATGTGTGTTTTAAGTTATAATTTATAATATATGTAACAGTTAATGCCAGATACTTTCTTGAGCTTTATGCCATCTTAATTATTGGCACGGTCAGTGGTGAGACAACACTTTCAGTTGGTCAGAGCTGTATCACTCGATACTAGAAGAAACCTACCTCCCCCTTCCTACATAAATAGAAAAAAGATTCAAGGGAGTTGGGGCTAGGTAGCCTGCTCTCCAACAAAAGACTGACCTAATTTCGATCTTCTTTAACTTCAAGACAGAGCTCACCTATACATAGTGGACCTTACTAAAGCATGGCAGATCATGTACAACTTTTAAACTGCAGCATAAGTGTTTCACTTGCTCTACTTTTTTAAAATTTTAGTCTAAATAACCACATACTTTTACCAAAAAATGGTGTGAAAATAAAAGTGTGCTTATTTATCAAATCCTAATCTGAAGAAATGACAAATATTACATATTTTTATTCAAAATATTTGAATTTTGTACTTTCGGGCTATTCCAATTTCAAATCGTGAGGGGAGTAACAGCTCCCAACTGACATTGACCGTCTACGTTGTACGGCTATCTGAGGTCACTAGTCAGTTCTTGTTGATAAACAACTAAACATGCTCACTTACTTGTATTAATTGCCTTTATTTCTCTTTAATTCCTGAATTTTATTTCATAGTAGTCCATGAGTTGAGGTTTCAAAAAAATAAAAATAGACTGATTAATTACTACCCCATGAGTGTCCAACATATTCCTCAGTTGATGTTTTGGGGTACCAAATTCTAACTGCAATCAATACACAATTTGGCAGTATATCTCTTGTATCCCAGGTATAATGTTTTCTTGTTAGATCAACTTCAAGTGGCCTCTGTTTTTCAAAAAGCATCGTTGATCTGCCCATGCACCTCTATTACTTAAAATGGCCCAAACTCGTTTGTAGAGTTCATTCCGTAATTGTCTATTCCTACTATTTGGGAAAGCGTTCATTTCAGGCCACCACACTTGTCTATTGGTCTCATCAACAACACATCTGTCACAAAAGCAATGTGGACACTCGGTATCGCTAAACCGTCCATCAGAATGTGCGGCTAAATTTCCACTATTACCACTTGAAGCTGTTTCAGGTTGTCCTTGTGTCACCAGAAGTGGTCCAGCTTCTTCACCATCTCTATCATTTCCTATATCTGTGTTTTGTATCATAGGTATGTGGTCATGCTGTGTTGCCCTGATTAAATCCCAACCATGTACTGTAAATATCCCTTCTACTATTTCTTCTTCTTCTCTTGTCAACAAAAGACAAACAAGATGTCTTCTTTCACTGTCGGCCATATTACCTTGTACTGGCGTGGATTTTTTTTACTATTGTTCTACATATATATACATAGTAACATCAATAGAACAGACTTTCATACAGCTAGTAGATATGTGTTGTAAAGACTAAAGGCCAATGTATGAATTTTTGGGTGAAGTTAAAATATTAGTTAAGGTTTAAGGTTTCAGTTTTTTGGCATTAACTTCCACCTTTTAGACCTTAAACTTATAACAAGAAATTATATAATGCAAACTGTACAGTTAAGAGTTAGGTACTCATACCCCATTTTCACTCATTGTTTCAAAGTCAATGATTTTAAAAGTAATTTGTAGGTTTATACCGCTGTCAGATGTTCGGTGTCAACAAGGTTTTAGCTATCATGTTTTTATGCTTCTATACTAGGAAATACTTTATCCAAGCACATAAACAGCAATATCATTTACAAGTCGCCAAAACACATACTGCATGTTTGCTTAAAAGTGTGCAATCAGTACTAAAATTGCTTTTGAAATGATGAAACTTGAATTATAATTTCATCCTTTTAAATCCCGGAAATTTAGTTTGCATCCGTTTCTGTATTGAGTATCTCTGCTTAACATTATGGTTGAAAGGTATACAACTAATAGCATTCTCTGTATAAAAAAATAATCAAAAATCATTTCATTGGTACTGGCTTCATATTTTGTACTTGTGGTAGTACATTGTTATTTTTGCAAAGTTTTAATCACAAGTTACAACTAAGCATAATAAAAATTTACATCTGTTTAGGTCAAGCAGCATGTCACCAACATCAATACAGAAGATAAACAGACAATTAAGACTGAAGTGAAAGACTGCATTAAGTATTTGAAAAGAAGACAGGCATCACAGTAAGTACATACTAAGTATTTAAAATATAAATAAAACTTTTAAAGGTTTTGTTCATGGTTAAAAGTCAGGAGTTCATAATTCTTGAAGAACACCAGGAGAGATATATGTGTAAAGAAAACCCTGTTAATACCCAAAAAGATGGATATCTCAATAAATTCTGATGTATTTATTATTTAAGTTTTCTACAAAAAGGCTATAAAGCAACCCTTCCTTTATATAAATCGAGACATATATGTGAAGACCAATGAAGGCAGTGATTGCCAAATTGCATAGTTTTATTTTTTCTTAGTTTTTAGATAATACATTTATTAAATGAGCACCTTGTATCTTCACAGAGACCATGCTTACAAAAAGAGGAAACTAATCGAATGTAATCTACCAACAGACCATCTCAATGATGATGAAAAAGGTGCAATGAAATCGGGGTAAATACACGTTATTTCTTACCCTAGTAGCGTTTGACTTTTAACCTTTGTATATATTACGAATGTTTTGTCTGCTAAAAAGTCTGTCTCGTGCCAAACATGATATATTTGTGAAACAAACCGAATAAGTTGTATTTCAGGAAATTGTATTGGTGGACAAACTGTCAGATTTCATTGTTTGCCTCTTCACATGCAACGATATAGAAATTTGTATTTTTTCCCTTATCTGTTTTAGAAACCTGATTTGCCTCTTGGATCATGTGGAGTTTCCCATCGCAAAAGCATATGTAAAAGCATACCCATGTACAGATTTGTGTAAGTAAACATGTATAAAATGTTATTTTTATTGTTTTAATTGGATTTCAAAGGTTTTACCCTCAGCTGTTTGGAAATGATCTATCCATTTATGATTTACTTTCTTTTTTCCTTTATTTTAGAAAAACAGTTTTCTATCATGGCCTGTTCATCAGACATGTCCTGCAGACAAATATCACCAGGTAAAGCGTTCTAAAAATGTTAACTCTAAAGCCCTTTCCTAACACTATTTGATGCCTCAAGCATTCATTTTGAATTATGAAACTAGAGGAAGGAGGGTTGTTGTTAAAGTCTTAGAATATTCACAGAAAGTTTTTCATGTTCCCGAGTGAGATCGCATTTTATGTACTTATTTTAAAAAAATGTAACTAATTTATTGATGAAATCTCAATTTACATTATTGATACCTAACTAGTGTTTCAACATTTTTGAAAAATTGAGCATTTGCAGAAATATGTATCAAACTGGCAGTTATAGGTCATCTTTTGAATGTTGAAAGTTGCGTTATCTTTGTTTAAGGGCTATTCCAGTTTTGACCGTGTAG